AATAATCTGAACCGTTCAATGTGTAGAACTCGTCGAGCACTATATGCCTGTAAAAAATCACGTTGATCGGATATCGATAGCTATGTGAACAAAATAGTTTTTTATCAACCGTTAATTTTTTCACCATCCATTTTTTTTTTATACAAAGCTAATTTGATCACATACCTATCGATATCCAATCAATATGATTTTTTACAAGCATGTAGTACTCAACGAGTTCTACACATTGAACGGTTCATATTTTCAAAACGAGACCCGTGGTAGGCCCCCATGGGCCCAACAGTACGGTCCAATCCGATCCCGAACTGGACAGAAGCTGGACCCTTTTCCTAATTCCTACGTCTCCATGTCCTCCCGCTCTAATAAGAAAGCAAGGAGAGGAACAATATTTACTTCCCCGTCCCAATTTTCTTGACTCCTCGCCGATCATATTTGTTAAATATTTTTGTATAAATTTATATTAATATCTAATTTAATTTTTGAAATACAATAAGATTAAATAACCAAAATATTGCACTTGTTTCACATTTTTTTAATTTTATCATACATCTTGTACCATTTCTATTTTTTATTTGGAGAAAATTTCATTTTTATCCCTATACTTTGCCTTATTGATCAATTACACTCATAGACTTTGAATAATTTTTACTTTACTCCCAAAGTTTTTGAAATCGTATCAATTTATCCCTATTGTCACATTTAAACGGAAAAAGTTTTTAAAAAAAATTACATTTTGACCTCAAATTTCAAAAGAAAGATGCAAACTCACCCTCTCTTACCCAAAGAACATAAACTTCCACTTTCAAGTTTTTTCCACAACCATGGTTAGGGATAGACTCAGATTCAGGCTCATCGTAAAAACACAAAAACACACACACACACACACACACACACACACACACACAAACAGAGAAAGAGAGAGTCAAAAAACCCTATTCACATTGCACATTTTGTGTTCTAAGACACAAAGTGCAGTGGGAGGAATAAATGTTGTGAAGTTGGAATAAATGAAATAGAAGCCTTCAGAGTGAAACATCTTCAGGAGTAGCCGAAGATGGTGGTGGTGGTAATGGAGAAGGACGATGATGAAGAGGCGAATAGACACAAGCAGGAACATCCTTATTGGACATGTTTTTAGGAATCCAAACAAAACGACTACATCTACAAACCCTGCCTCTACAGCTCAAACTAGAATGCCCTCTGTCAAAACTTTTCTTTTTCCACATGAAATTGCCCTCGGTTTCCCCAACAAATTACCCCAACATTCAATCTACAAAGTAGACCGGAGACAAGCTGATCCTAGTTACAAGTAGTGATGGAACTAGAGGAAACTATAAGGGTTCATGGCCTCCATATTTCTATGAAGAATACTGTTTGCTTTAACAAAAATTATATATTTCACTCTTCTCTGATCATGCATTCTATTTTATTTTGCACAAAAAGACTTCTTCATCCAATACCAAATTACTTCCATAGTGTTTGATTTTTTTTATTTTTTTTTATTTTTGTGTGTGTATATATAACTTACATATCATATTATATATACATGTTTACTAGTATATATGGTGAAAAATTTTAATTCAAATTTTTGCCCGAAATCTTAGGCCAAGTTTGGCAATTGCAAAATAATCTATCTTTTTATCTTTTTATCTTTTTTTCATCACATCATCTCTCTACTTTACTGCACATCTTTTCGTAAAAAGACAAAAAATGCACTTATTTAGGTCATTCCAGACAATCTCTTAGTTCTGTCGTAAATGTCTTTTGACCTGTAAGGATAACAATTACAGCCCTACTTAATACAGTTTATTAGGTTGTCTTAGCATTTTTTTCCAATTGTCATTACTTAGAAATTTATGTAAGATTATTTTGTATAGTTTTTACTTACAATTTATGAAAGAGAAATAATTCAAATAAATTTTTTAAAAATTATTATTGAAAGATGAGAATGAATGCTTATACTTTATAATTTCTAATTATCAACTTTCTGCTTATAAATAATTACACCAAACAAAAATACTTATTCACTTCTTTTTTTCTTTTTCTTTTTTTTTAAAGCTTTAATAATTAGATTTTATTGTTAGCTTTAGGCTAGATAGAAATAGAAAAAGTGTGCGCATATATCTATATATATAAGAGGCACTTAGCTGTTTGAAGTTCATCTTTTCTTTTCGATTTTGTTTTTTTATTTTGAATAATTTATTAATTATATGTTGATTGCAAGTTTTTTCGTAATTATGCAAGCATTTTTAGTCAATTATATAACAGATTTTTTTTCGTAATTACACAAACCTTCTTGATCAATTATAAAATAGGTTTTTTTTTCGTAATTATGCAAACATTCTTGGTTAATTATTAAATATAAATATTTTATTTTTTGACAAATTACAAATACACTCATAAAATTTGTTTAAAATATAAATCGGTCCTATAATACTAGAAATTACAACTATCGTTTATTATAAATTTTAGGAGTTGTTTGTGATGATCTAAATAAGTACACTATTTGACTTTGAAAAATGCTTGGGAGCACTAAAAAGGGAGCACTAGAAGGAGCACTAATGATGTGGCAGTGCCCCCACCCACTTTCTATGCCTTTTTTTTTCTTCTTTTTTTTACCATTCCCAATGCATTAGTGCTATTAGTGATGTATTTTTTAGTGATCTAAATCATTGTTGTTTAACTTTTTATGAAATATGGATTGGGTTTGGGTTGAGTTTGAAGTGATGTGTTAGAGAGGTGAAATGACTTAAATAAGATGATGTGACTTAAATAGGATAATGATTTTTTGACTTTTTGACTTTTTTCAAACATGTCAAACCAGCACTTAATCTAACACAATACTCAAGGGAAAAAAAAATCTTCTAATAAATTATCAAAATTGTTTATTGAAAAATATTTCTCATATTGACAAAAGGGTTAATTGAAAAATATTTTTCTTATTATTAAAAATTGTTAATCTACTTAATGATTTACTTATTAATAAAATTGATCATTTGTTATGCGAGTATGATTTATGTATTAATAAATTTAGTCATTTGTATATATATATATTTTCTTCTACTTCTTTATTAGTTCAGTGACTTATCTTAGTAGTTTTTTTTAGATAGGAGAATTATATTAATATTCATTTTATATTTATCTCTTGAGAAAAGTTACACACCATAATTTTTTTATTTTATAAATTCAGAAGAAATGTTAAAGACTAAAAAATTCACCCAAAATGATATGTAATAGAATTGGAGTCGACATCATTGGATGTATAACAAATCAAAAAATATATATATCATACATATAATTCTATCATATATCAAATGATTTATTCTATTCAATTTTATATAATAATATTTTGATTTTTAAAAAATTATCAAAATACAAAACTTAAACATACTATAATAATAGCTCGTGCCATGCACGGGCCCGTGTAAACTAGTGTATATATAGAGATTGGCTGGAGGGTGTTGTTGGACCCATGGGAGCCCACCACGGATCCTGTTTCGACAATCCGAACCGTTCAATGTGTAGAACTCGTCGAGTACTAGATGTTTGTAGAAAACTATATTGATCGAATATCGATAACTATTTCATCGGATCAGATTTATGTCAACCATTTATTTTTTCACACTCTATTTTTTTAATACAAAATTTATTTGATCATGTAGCTTTCGATATCTGATCAATATGATTTTTTACAAATATATAATACTCGACGAGTTTTATACATTAACGATTCAGATTATCAAAATGAGACCCGTAATGAGCCTCTATAAACCTATTGCTTGTTTCCACTTTTTAAAAAATACTTTTCACAAAATTCTAGTTTCTTATTTTTTCGTATTTTTTTTTGGTTTTACTGAATTTTTTTAATATTTTAAGTAATTTTTTTACTTTTTAGACACACCTAACATAAATACACCTAAAAAGTAAAAAAACTGTAAAAAAAATCTTTTAAAAATTCACTAAATACCAAAAATATAAACAAATACAAGAATTCAGTATATTTTTTTTGTATTTTTATGTATTTATTAATTTTTTAAAATATTTTTTCACAATTTTTTTACTTTTTAGATATATCTCAGTAAGGTGCATCTAAAAAAGTAAAAAAAATATTTAAAATTTAAAAAATATTCACTAAAAATAAAAAATAAAAACATGAAAATCAAAATATCAATTTTTAAAAAATTTAATCTAAAAAACTTAAATTAAACACACTGATTATTCTCTAATCTGACGAACTGGACGAAAGTTAAACCCATATATATATATGGTTTTTTTCATTTTCTCCTTATCTAACAACAATGACTTGAAGCAGGTTCAAACCTAGTCTTATTATAGACAAAGCTGCCGCCAGAATAACTTTAGCATTGATGTCTAGTTTAGTCCACTTTGACGTTCTATGCATCTTAATCATTTGTGTATATATATATACTAGCGATAATCCGTGCGATACACCGAAAAATAAACTATATATATTTTGTGTGATATATAAATTATTCTAATCTTGAATTATATTTTAATAGCAGCAAGCCATGATGTTAAGCCATCTTAGTTGATGTTAACAATAATTAATCTACAAAATTTCACAATAAAAATTTGATATACATAAAAAATTGTTAATTATAAAGATTGTTAGGATAATAGTATTACAATCACTTGCTAACATAAATAATTTGTATCAGACTATAGTGTCATGCAAAAAAAAAAACAAAACAAAACAAACAAAAACAAAAACAAAGCATTAAAAGAAATAAATTGTATAAGTTATCATAAATTTACTTATTTTAAATCAATGATTTATATTATTATTGTGGGACCAAATTATGAATAAATCTCAACTTTTAATTATAATTTGTAAGTAATCATTCTCCATAACTTGAATAATACTTGCATAGTTTCTACAACATTTAAAAAAAAAAATCAAGATAAGAATTTCGTAGGATTATAAAAATTATTTAAGAAAATAGTTTAATCCATTTTATTTATAAAAAAAAAGGGGAAAATTGGTCTAAGGTCCCTACCCAACTTTTAGTATGAGGAGAGATCCATAATAATATTTTCTGGTGTCTAAGGTCCCTTAATGTTAGTTTAGTTTATAAAATACCTATTTTACCCTTTTGTATATTATACGTGGTTTTCAATTTTGGAATCTGAAGATTACGTTACTATTTTTGTGGAAGATTACTTTGGGATGAACTTGGCGATCGATGGAGATTTCGATGATGCAGATTTCGTGAAAATTTTATAGGAATTTTGTAGTCGTATAGTAGTTGAGTTTCGTTGATCGTATAGAAGTTGAAGTCGTGTTGAAGCTCGAATTTTCAGTAGAGTTGAATCAGGTAAGTTTAACAATCATTTAAGTTTTTTATTTTTCATTTGATTTGTATATATGGACTCCGATTTCAAATAAGTTTTTTGTAGTTTATTTTGAATTAGGTTTTTATTTTCAATTTTGATCAATGTGATAGAAAAGCCAGCTTAGTGAATTATTTTTTGATTTTTGAAGTTGATTTTTCATTCTTTGCTTTTGACAATGGAGTTGATTTTTCATTCTGTGTTACATGTTTATCAATGATAAGTTTTGTTCTTCGTGTTTGGAGACCGGCTCTATTTTTCTTCACTGTCTTAAGTTTTGTGCTCTGTTTTTTTCATTTATTCTGCACTTTTCATTTTTCTACACTTTGCTTTGTATTCCAGAGAAAATTATATGTTCATATTCCAGGGAAAATTGTATGTTTATATTCTAGAGAAATTTCTCTGCATTCTGATTTAAGTCCAATAATGCACAATGAGACAGAGAAAATTATAAGCTTGTAGTCCAGTGAAAATCACAGAGAAGCTTATAATTTGATAACTGATCTTCTGTGTGATTTTTATCTATGATTGTGTTTAATAGTTAGCATTGAATATCTCTGTGATTTTCTCTAGATTCATTAATTCTTCTGTAATTTTGTTTTTGTTATTTTGAAGGTGAATTTAAGTTTGTAAATTTCTCTGGACTTTTATTTGAGTCCAGAGAACATTATAAGGTAGGTATTATAATCCAGAGAAAATTATAATTATTAGAAATTTCTCTAGACTTTTATGTTGTTCTTGTGAAGTATTTTTATATTGAACAAGTTATTTTTGGTATTTTTTGTTTCAGTTTAGATGGACAGTGCAGTGTTGTTGCTGTGCAAATATGGGAATGATACTATTATCATTAATGTTTCATGTGAATTGAATTGATGATGCTATGTTTTTACTTGCATTGAGTAAGAGATCAGCTAGGAGGCCAAAGAAGAACAGAATTGCTTCTACTGAAGAGTTTAAAAGGGTGATGAAGTGTAGTCAATGTGATAGGATTGATCGCCATAATAAGAGGACATACAAGGAACCTTTGTTAAATAGATGAGGATATTACATTTATTGATTGAATAATACATTTGAGAATTACTTTGTGTATTTTGTTTTGTAAAATGTACTTTTTGGATAGTGCATATATAATACCAATCAAATTCATCTAGAAATTTTTTTAATAGCAATGAAAATTACTTTTTGTGTTACGTTTTTAGAAACATACTTTGGGAGTGCCTTTATAATACCAGTCAAATTGATCCAGAGAAATTTTCCTATAGCAGAGAAATTTGCTATGTGCATTGTGTTTGTTGAAATGTGCATTGTGTTTTGTGAGGTCAAATTCATCCAGTGAAATTTGTCAATAGTAGAGAAATTTGTAAGGTCAAATTCATCCAAAGAAATTTACCATGTGCATTGTGACAAATTTATCCAGAGAAATTTGCCAGTAGCAGAGAAAATTACTTTGTGCACTATGTTTTGTAAGGTCAAATTTATCTAAAGAAATTTGTGAGGTGAAATTCATTCAGAGAAATTTACTATGTGTATTGTGGCAAATTCATCTAGAGAAATTTGCCACTAGCAGAGAAAACTATAATGTGTATTGTGTTTTTTGAATTTGATGATTGTTTCGTACCAACACAGTGCATTACAAATTACATGATCATATAGGCACCCTTTTGGCACGATACGAGTTTAATTTTTCTGTGAAATTCTGGTAACTTCATACAAGAAAATTTTCTTTAGACAATTTTCTCTATGTGGATTGTGTTGATAATCACCACTAAATATGCATTATAAAAAAAAATATTTAACCATTGATAGTTATAAAATTTACATTAGTTAAAAAAATATATATACATATATGTCAAACAACGTCATTTCTTCAATGTACGAAAAAAAAAATTGAAGGGTCATTCCTAATTACACTGTGTACATTGTTTTCGTTTCACTAGTATGCTTTCACTATTATACTTTCAGTTCTTCTTTTGGTGGTATTTCAATTGGTTCTGTCCATGACCGGCCAATTTCGGTCGCAAATCTCTCTATGATTTTCTGTCCTCGTGAACCTTACGTCTTGTTTTGACAATGTTGAGCTGATAGGTTCATGGTTGCTATATTGTCTCATTATGTAGCAAACGAAGAGGCCACAATCCACACTGCATACAAATTATAGGTATAGTTAGTTTTAAGAAATATTCAAATTAGATTATCTTATTTATAGAGTTTCTGTTTCTTACTTGGTGTTTATGGTGTTTTGCTGCTTTTACATTTCGTCATTTTTAGACAATGAAAACATAAAGATGTCAACATTAAATCCCAGAGAAATTTACAGACAACAAAAGAAAATGGAACATGACAAACACACACAAAGGAGAAAAGTGATGTGGCCGGAGAAAATTCAAGAATGGAACAAACTAAACATATACCAGAGAAAATTACACATGGCAAACTAGGAGAAATTATATATATGCCAGAGAAAATTAACAAGGCAAGCCAGAGAAAATATGCATTCCATAATATAAAAATCCCAGAGAAATTTACAGACAACAAAAGAAAATGGAACATGACAAACACACACAAAGGAGAAAAGTGATGTGGCCGGAGAAAATTCAAGAATGGAACAAACTAAACATATACCAGAGAAAATTACACATGGCAAACTAGGAGAAATTATATTTATGCCAGAGAAAATTAACAAGGCAAGCCAGAGAAAATATGCATTCCATAATATAAAAATCCCAGAGAAATTTACAGACAACAAAAGATAATATGAAAATGCCAGAGAAATTTACAAACAACTAGAGAAAATGGAACATGACAGAACCACACAAAAGAGAAAAGTGATGTGGCCATATAAAATTTAAGAATGGAACAAAATAAACATACCAGAGAAAATTACATATATAACAGAGAAAATTAAACATGGTAAGTCAAAAAAAATATGAATTCCATAATATGAAAATGCCAGAGAAATTTACAGAAAACCAGAGAAAAATAGGGAATAACTAGAAACAAATGGGGGAATAAACATGCCAGAGAAAATTCAAAGAAAACACATAGATCAAGCAAATACCAGAGAAATTCAAATGACAGAGAAATTTACAGACAAAATCACACAAACATCTTCAAGAATAAGTTCGAAACTTAGAGAAATAACATTTTTCAAATTCATGTAGGTTTTTATTACGAAATTGAAATCCTAATTAATTGAAGGCTAGTCAACTGTGTTTCGGAGAAAAACTAGTTGGATTGGAGAAAACTTACCAGAGTGATGATGAAAACCCTAGTTTCGAACTGAAATGGCCTGAGATGAAGATGCAATGAGATGACGATGAACTGAGATGACGATGAACAATGAAAACGGGTCAGAGAAATTTGTGAGGAACGAATTGAAAAGAGTTTGGCCGAAGATAATGAAACCGTAATGGCGACAGTGAAGATGATAGTGAAACCCTAATTCTCATGTTCTCTTGCTCATGAAAATGGTTGGATGTTTGGAATGAATTGAGTCGTCGGAATGCAATCGAGTTGAGCGTTCTATGTTGATCTATGAATGGTATTTTGGTCCCAAAAAAAAATAAAAACGCGCCGGTCGTTAGTGAGGGACCTGAGACATCATTCATATTTTTGGTGTCCTTTATGCTGTAAATTACTCTTATTAGGGATCCTAAAAAAAATTGCCATTTTTTTAATATTTTAAGTAATTTTTTTTTACTTTTTAGACACACCTAACATAAATACACCTAAAGAGTAAAAAAATTGTAAAAAATATCTTTTAAAAATTTACTAAATACCAAAAATATAAAAAAAATATAAGAATTCAGTACATTTTTTTATATTTTTATGTATTTATTAATTTTTTAAAATATTTTGTCACAATTTTTTTACATTTTAGATACATCTGAATAAGGTGCATCTAAAAAAGTAAAAAAAAATTAAAATTTAAAAAATATTCACTAAAAATTAAAAAAAAAAACACGAAAACTAAAAAAATCAATTTTTAAAAAATTTAATTCAAAAAAATCAAACTAAACACACTTGGTTGTTCTGCAATCTGACGAACTGGAAGAAAGTTAAACCCATATATATATATATATATATATATATACGGTTTTTTTCATTTTCTCCTAATCTAACAACAATGACTTGAAGAAGGTTCAAACCTAGTGTCATTATAGACAAAGCTGCCGCCAGAATAACTTTAGCATTCAAGTCTAGTTCAGTCCACTTTGACGTTCCATGCATCTTAATCATGGTATATATATATACCCTTTTTAATTAATACTAACTAGCCCATCATATGTACTACGCGCGGAATAATTATAAATATTTATATTTGTTATAAATTTTTTTAATATAGAAATTATGTTTTTAAGGTTTTTTATAAAAATAATTTAACAATCTTATTACTAACCATAGTATATAGAAAAAGTTGAAAAGGATATTGTAGTAACTATACACGGATTGTATCTATAATTATTTGTTTTAGGGGATTTTAAATACTGATTAGGCGATTTTGACCAAATCAATAAATGCAAGCATGTAGAAAGACATGTGGATTAAAAAAAGTTAACAAATGCTGATCAGGGGATTTTGACCAAATCAATAAATGCTGAGTTTTTTTTTAAAAAAAAATAAAAAATTTAGAAAATTCAGATTGGTATATTGAAGCTCTCACAGGCCTTGGGGTTAAAAATCCCCTTTTACTTAATATATAGTATAGATGGTTGGTGCATTGCACACGATATATAATTTTTTTTTTATCAATTTATAATATTATAAATGAAAAATCTAGAAATCCCCTAGATGTTGATTTGTGATTATGTATCAATTTTAAGCAGAATATAACAATCCCAATCAAACAATCAAGACAAAGAGACACAACGATTTAACGTGAAAAAAACCACAATTGGACACCTCCAACTGTGATCAAAAAACCACGGGCAACAGCCACAAGAACAATCCACTAAGAAGATTTAAAGGAATTACACAGGTATACTCTCAATTATCTAACGAATCCACAACGCCTAATTGAACCAACCTCTATGTGCCTCTTCCAACCCCATCTTCACCACAGAATTGTCTTTCTGATGAGCCACTCCGGATTTCACCAAAGCTTTAGGATCGAATTCTTCAGAATCCATAACTGAAAAATAACTCTCTCTTTTGTGTATAACAAACAAACCTTTGATGTACTCTCTTTAAATCATGAGTTGAAGACTCAATAAAAACATCAAAGAAAACAAACAAAATATCCTCAGATATAAACTTTAAGAACCAAAAAGAAGATCTGGAGGACTTCAATCAATCTCTTAGTTTTGGGAGAAAACCAAGTATTTATAGAGAACCAAAAGTAATCCAAGATTGGGAAGAAAACAAACTTCTTGAGAAATCCGGATTCTGAGGTTCGCTCGAGCGAAGCTTTTCTGGCTCGAGCGAGCAGTGTATTTTTCATGATTTCTACTAGTGCCTTGGCTCGAGCGACGGATCCTTGGCTCGAGCGAGGAATACACTTTTTCAGGTTTTTGTATGGACGCAATCCTTGGCTCGAGCGCGCATTCCTTGGCTCGAGCGAGCAAGCCCTAGCTCGAGCGAGAATTCCTTGGCTCGAGCGAGCAACGACGGACATGCAATTTTGAATGCAATTTTGCATTTTGCTTCGGCCGACCCCCGTAATAATCAGCGAAGTGGCAATCTTGAAAGCATTAACATCACAAACTTCTCTGCATGGCTCGATTCGGGTTTGGATTCGCATCTAATAAACTCATAGCCTCACTGAAATAAAAGTGCGAAAAAAAAAATACATCTGAAAGGAGTTTTCTCAAACGGGGTTGCCAAGAATAAAAACCTAACAATAAATATATGTGTCTCTTAAATTAATATGTGATATGTGTACAAAGTATAAAGATTTATATGGATAAATTGATCTGTATCCAAAATATAATTAAATAAGAAATGAATATATATTCGATAGAAAATTTTAAATAATAAATGAGAAATTTTATATACATAAACATTAATTCATAATT